CTTCATAACCAACAATAAAAAAGAAGGTAGATAATATCTAAAGATAATTAAGTGGTGCAAAACCACATCAACAAACAAACGTTAACAGATCATACTTCTTACCTAGCTGACTCAGCTCTTTGCTCATGGAAATCAAATGTATAAACATGTCCTGTAGGAGCCACAGCCCTGGCAAGTGAAGTTGTTAAAGATCCACTTCCAGTACCTGACTCAAGAACCACGCAGCCAGGTACTATTTCGAGGTACATGATCACAAAGCTAATATCAGCAAGATAAAGAATCTGAGTCCTGTGACTTAAGACCAGAGTCCAAAGTTCAGGAGTTGGAGCCAACAAGTAAACAAATCGACCTTTGCTATTAAACACTTTGGACCCAAAAGGCTTTCCAATCCAATCTGAATGTTTGAATACACCAAACCGGTTCTGGAACACTGAGCTTTCACATACTTTAACAGCCTTCATTATGTCATGTCTCTCATAAACTATTACCAAGTCTCCATCTCTAATGCCCCGCGAAAAAGTAATCTTTTTCGTAAGCTCAGAAGGCAACATCTCTGAAATTTACAACCTGCTGATGTAAAAGCAAGTCTGTGGAAAGAATGAAATATAAATGGAGAGTAAGCGAGAAAAGAAGTTCCTAAGCGTTGAAAAATTTTGGATGCAACAGAATTCAATTTCTTTCGTTCTTTATATTGGAAAACTACCAGTGCAGCCATTAATCAATTCTCATTCAGTCCTAACCTATTTAGAAAAATTAATTACTACCATAATTTAGCATCTAGATTTTGAATCAATTACCACCTTCATCTTGAATTCTTTGAATGAATTTGCCAGGTAGGAATTACAAAACCATTTCCACAAAATTCAAGCTGGAGTAAGACAAATTCAAGTATAGAAACTTATAACGTAAAGCACAAATAAAGCAAAGAATAACGAAAGTGGCACTATATAACAATCGAGATCCAACTTTCCAGGGTTTCCATTTCTCTATTTAACCATTATAAAACACATGCTAATATTTCCAAAACTCAACAACTAATTATTCATGTCTTGGGATACCTCAATTCCAGTAACAGCACAAAACACCATTATTTCGCTACAGATCCTTCTTCCACTCAGATCAAAAACAAAACAAGAACGTCCGACCAAAAAAAAGTACATATAACGTAAAATCTGCAGACACAACCCAGAATAACCCGCCCCTGAAGCTACATACCTCACAATCACCAAACATAAACTTTTAGGACTAACATCAGAAATTTATAACAGAATAAAATCAATGAAAAATAAAAACTCACTGGTAAAAAGAGACTTAGGAAGCAGAAAACTCGTTGGCGGCAAGAAGACAATATCGGCGCCGCAAGAGGAGCAACAGCACCAGTAGCGCAGAAAGAGAAAACTAAGAGGTTTATACTCGTCGGAAGTAATGGCAGACAAACGGTGATTCCAGAAAACCAGTAGCTGAATATTACAGAGAACCAGTAGCCGGATGAGCACTCTGATCAGAGAAAGAAACTTGCATTGGCCGGCAAGCTGAGCCGCGAGTCGGGAGAAATACCGTTAGGGATTACGAATAGGAATTTAGAGATATTTATAGTAGTGGTAGATTGGTAATTATGAAATATAATAGGGGCAAGAGTATAATTTCAAAAGCTGGGGTCGGCCCGGGGAAGCCCCATTATTCGAACTTTCGCATTTTTTGTGGGAAGAAAACACTAATTTTTATAAAACTAATTATTTAAAATTTTGTATTTAATTTTAAACTTTTTTTTTAAATTTCCTATTTTTTAACCAAGTTAAAGAAGTAAAATGTATTTAAAAATAATATATATTTAAAAAATTAAGAAATTTTAAAGTATATTATTTTAATAATGAATGAAATTTTTTAAAAAATTATTTTTTATTTTCATTGAAATCAATATATTATTATATAAGTACCGGGAATTAACATGTGTTAATTTCTTTATTGTAATTTTAAAATTTAATTATTTAACCCACAATCTATAATTAATTTAGAAATTAAATTTTAAATTCATACTTAAATATTTTAAAAAGATAATTAGTACATATATTGTTAAATTATTTTTTATATTTAAAATTATATAGTATATAACTTATAATTAACTAAAATTAAATTTTATTTTTATAATTTAAAAGGAAGTGAATAATATTTAAAATTTATTTCTATATAATATATAATTACAATTAATAAATAATTTAGATATGCCATGTCATGTTTTGCAATATTACTTTTGTATATGAGATATAGAATTATGGATGTGTCTAGCACTATATATATTTGTCATTTTTATAATTATTAAATACATTATTCATTAATTTCAATAAAATAATTGTACATTGTGTTTTTTAAAAAGTATAAAATAAAGCCATTAAAAAAAGAGAGAGAACAAAAATTGGCAAGAGATTTTATCGCTTAAGAGATGAAATGAGAGGTGAGAGCCCTTCACTTGGATTCCTTACGGATAACAGCCATGAACTCCTGTCTCTACCCATTACCCTCTTTTGCATCTACATATATTATATACATACATACATACATATATATATATATATCCAAACATAAATATCTCTCAAAAATATCTCATACCCTCTCTATCTCAATGTGTATTCCTAAGGACGAACATGATCGGCTCCCTTGTCTTCGTTGCCAACCGCAAGAATACATAAGACTGGTAAATATATATGTATAGTACGTACTTAAACATCTTCTTCTCTGTTTGGACATTGTCTCCTTGTTTATATATATACATATGTGTGTGTGTGTGAGAGTAAATTGCCGACTGCAAGATTGAAGAATTATTCGTGATAAGGCTGGCCGGAAAATATATGTAGTACATGAACTTCTTCTTCTTCCTTTGCTCTCATTGTTACTATATATATGTATATACATATGTATATATTCACATATGTACACACACACACACATATATATATATACGTGTGAGTAAATTGCCAACTGCAAGATTGAAGAATTATACTTGATAAGGCTGGCCGGTAAATATATATATGTTTCTTGAACTTCTTCTTCTTCGTTTGCTCTCTTTGTTCTTATATATATATAATATATATATATATATGTATATATGTATATATGTATGTATGTATGTTTGTATGTGTATATATATTAATTTTCTGTTTCAGTAGCTAGAAGAAAATATATATATATATATATGAATATTGTAATGAATATATATATATATATATGTATATGTAATTGTAGGTTCAACATTTGATAGAAAGATGCTTACTTCGTAACATGAGAAGAGATGAGTGCGTCCAAGCATTGGCCAAGCATGCTGCCATCGACCCCATCATCACACTTACAGGTGTACAGATATATATATATATATATACGCACATATATACTAACACATGCATATAAAATATACATATATATAATACCCATGCAGGAAAACTATATATATATATATATATATATATATATATATGTTGATGATAATTATTGTTTATACTGATGATTTTGCAGTGTGGAGAGAGTTGGTCAAAGAGAATAGAGGCTTCTTTCAAGCATATCTCCTTGCTATTTCTCCAAGGCACTTCAACAGAACCATAAACTAATTAAGCACAAAGCACAGCAGATTAATTCTATGTTTAAAATCCCTGAATTTGCAAATAATATATATCTATCTATCTCTCTCTCTCTCTCTCTCTCTATATATATATATATATGTATGTAAATATGTAAATATTTTTTAAATTAGGAATCCATACATAAGCTCATGTAAGTTATCATTACTAAAAAATATGCTAATATTGTTGTATTGGTTATTAGAGTAATGATCAATTATTTTAAAATCATAATAAATATAATAATTTTTTAAAAAAGAATTATAAAAATAAATTAAAATTTATACCTATTTATATTCTTGGACACATATTAATTTTTTTTATTTTTTAATAATATTTACGTAATTAATAATATATTTTTAAGCTCGTAAAAAAAATCCGAATTCAATTAATTATTTTGTCTAAAAAATGATTTTAAGTTTATATATATTAAAAATAATTTAATTTATTATTTATACATATTCTTCTGAGTTTCAAATTCAAATATTTTAATTCAACAATAAATCAATTAATTTATTCTAACTAAAAATTAGATCAAATTATAATTTTTTATTTCTTTAGTTTAAATTAACCAGAAATTAAAATATAAAAAAAATATCATTTAATCGAAGCAGACATATTTTCTCGGTTCTTAAATTTTTTGGACCGTATCGGTTTAGCATATTTCGAACAAATCGTCCGGTCCGAACCGGATAATAATAGCAGTAGCCCATTTATCTCCCTTTGTTTATTTAATTTTTTTATATTAAAAAAAAAAAACTTTGAATATTCTTTTTTGACCGCTTGACCAAGATTTCACTTTGATTTTCTTTGTAATTTCTTATGACCACGAAAACGTTACTTCTAATTTTCTCCCAGTTTATCGCATTTCTCCCCTTCATCTTCTCTCTTTCGGATAATCTTATTTTGATTATGCAAAAAGATTCGTATCTCAGTTGGTTCCAATTTCGTAGCGTAAAAGAAGCAGTCTCATCTTTACCAGAAACTCCTGTAAGCACCCATTACGATTTTGCTTCTCTATTTCTCTCGCTCTCTGTTACGTTGAATTGTCTTCTTTTGAGGAACACTGTTATATTGAATTTTCGATCATGGGTTCTTGGACATTGTTGAGAAATTTGGAGAGAGGGAGTGAGAAAATGTGGGATATCATTAGGTGGGTTAAGTTGAAATGATTGCTTTGTTCGTCAAATTATCTTTCCCTTTTTCAGCTTTTCAATCTTACGCATTATTTTGTCTGGCATCAGTTTGTGGTGTTTTATATCGAATTATTGTCATGATTGGTATATCATTTTGTTCACTTTTATATGCTCTTTTCTTCTTCTTTGATCTTTTTCTTTTGTTCTTCTCTCATATTTGGGGAGGAGTGGAGATGGTTTATTTCTATTAATGTTTTCCCTTTTTCTCCTTAAGTTGTGGAGAGTGAGTTAATCTTGTGTTTTGATGAATTGGCAATTCTGTTTTGGGATTATTTCATTTTCCTGAGGATATATCTTACAATACTCTTTTATAGCTCCTCAAATTTACTTTTCATTTTTGGCTGGAAGATTATGTATGGACCATCTTTCATGAATAATAAGTTGACATGAAAAAAGGGGTGAGGTAACTTTGCAATTTCTTAAGCAGGATGCAGCTTCTTTTTAGTGCTGATACCACTGACCTGAGTTATTGGCTCAACTGGAGGGTCTTGCCATGTGCAATCTGTGTATTGACACCTATGGTTGCAGCATTTTTTGTAATATGGAAATATGAAGATTTTGGAAGTGGAAAAGCTGCCAGAAGAGGACCACAACAAGATGTACCTCAATTGTTGCGTGGTGAGGATGCATGGAGACCATGTCTTAGAGAAATCCACCCAGCTTGGTTATTGGCTTATCGAATTTCCGCGTTCTGTTTGCTTTTGACAACCCTAATTATCCGACTTCTTTACTCTGGAGGGCACATGTATTTCTATTATACTCAGTAAGCTATCTCTTATTCCTGGCCTAGTTTGTTATTTGGATGGCCTACAAATCCATGTTTGGGAAGAATTTTGGTCAGTCTTATGGTGAAGGTGGCTCCATCTTTTGGATAACCTGTTATATGGTGATAATTTAAGATGCAAGGATTTTGCAGAGAAAATGTCATCAAATTCTTCTCTGTTTTTTCTAAGCATAATATGCTTATATAACTCACTTAGAAGGTAGTGGAGTAATTAGTTTTGATGAGGGCACAAAAATGGTTATGGGGAATTACCATTATCTTCTATGAGCCATTTGAGATTGTTCACAAACAAAAAATGAGCATCTGTCTTCTCTAGGAATGGATGTTCTAGTATAAAACATTTATTATCTCTGTGTCTACCTACATATCTCTGTATACTCTAGAATTATCTATTGTATCATAACCATAGATCATAAGACAATTTACCTCCAGCTTCCTAATTAATGCTGAAATATGTTGTCTTGAGATAAATTTTAACATAAAATTGTTCTTTCTGGTTCTTGACAGATGGACTTTCACCTTGGTTACAATCTATTTCGGGGTATGTATTTTTATCTCCTTTTAAGAAGTTGCAGAGTGCCTAAAACTGACTCCAACTTCAGTTGTACAGTTTGATTTTTCATTGCTTTCAAATTTATGCATAAGTGTGGTGTGTGCTTCAGCAAGAACTTGCAATTTTGGCAAAATTGGATTTTTGCAACACATATAGTAGGCTCCACAAGTTCGTCTCACTCATGAACATTATGATCTTTACACTATCTTGTAGTTTGGATCATTTCTCTCCATTAATGGATGTTACCAATACCACAAATTAAGTATGAGAGATTTTATCATACATAGTGGGACTGATGCAGAGCAAGGATACTATGTACCTTTAACATCCGAGCAAAGCAGAAGTGTACATGAAACAAGAAATATTTCAAATCTTAAGGAGGCTTCCAAAGCTGCAGGAATTGATACTTACCTCTTTCAAGTTATATTTCAGGTTAGTCCTTTTCTAAGAAGAAATATTTTTATCTGATAAAGAATACTAGACTTATGGGGGCACTTGGAGTCTGCTATCTTGAAATGGTCAGCTTTTAACATACTCGTTCTGTTTTACTTCTCTGTACAAAATGTTATCCGTTTTTTTCCCCTTCTTTGTCTAGCTTTTAAGCCAGATTGAAAATGCATGTTTGAACTATAGATTCAGATAAACAGCAATTCTTTTACAAACTTGAAGGCAGTATGTTGATAAGCAAAATTGTTGTGCTTGACCCTGATGCAGTTCCTTCATTTGGCTTAAACAGATGAATGCCGGGGCAGTTGTGCTTACTGACTGTATCTATTGGTTCTTCATTTTTCCATTTCTTACCATCAAGGACTATGATTTGAATTTTGTAAGTGCATTCTTCTTTCCCTTTATAACTTATGATATTTATCATTTTAGTTGGATCACGAGAGGTCTACATGCCATTCTTATCTTTAGAGAAGTGCACGAATGTTTAAGGGGGATATAGCTAGTAATCAAAAGTGCCTTAACCTCACTAACAATAGTCTTTACCCAAGATAACCATACTGAATCAATGTTTCTTGTATTCCAATCTTCTGCATAAATATAGTACTTCACAAAGATACCCTCTTAACTCGAATATAATTACAGAACTTTTTTTTTATTTTATTTTACTACAGAAATGCTCGTTTAGTTAATAATCAGTTAACAAATCATTAGGAAGCTGACTGTTATACTACTAAGTTTTTAACATAGCTTTACCAAAATACATACGATGTAGTTTTGTGGTAAAATATGGTGTAGTTTTGTAGTGTAAGAAATGAAATGTGGGCATGGAAAGGCATCACTTTTGGAAAATAGAATCGGGACTCATACCATTGATAATATTTGAGTTATTTGGAAAGAAAGAAATAGGAGGATGTTTGATAGGGAGGAAGAGGATATTGATAAAATTAGAGCGAAATAGTTTCAAACTCTTATGTTTCTTTATAATGGGTCAACATTCTATACTTTATGGAGGACTTTGGTGATTTGATAGAGAGAATGATGACTTATAAATATTTTTTGTACATGGGTTTGCACTTAATGCTTATAGTTATGGCAATTTATTCTTTTTATTTTAAAAAAAAAAATTGTAGTAAAATAAAAGGAGGGTATTTTTGTGATTATCCTTAAGTTAGAACATAAATTTATAAATTAACCTATATAAATAAGCTGTGGTCTGCATCTCTTATTAGTGATGTGATTGTTGCCTTGTTCATGATGATTGTTTCCGAACTCCTTTCTATGTGCCTAATGTTTATAATCAAATCCGTGTCAGATGACAGTAAATATGCATACGAGCAATGTCATCCTACTGCTTGGTGATACAGTGTTGAATTCCTTGGTAAACTAGTGTTGAATTCACTGCTATTCAGTCCTTCTTATCTCTGGTTAATTTTGGAGCAATCTTTAAACAATCTTTATCTCTTCTAGGGATTCCCATTCTTTCGGATGGCTTACTTCATCTTATGGACGGGTGCTTTTGTCATTTTCCAGTGGATACTTCACGCTTGTATCCCAGTCTGGTAATTTGCTGGTTTTTTCGATTTTTTCAGACATCATCTGGGATTTATATCAAGAAGATTGATTCTATTTCTCTTGTACAGGTGGCCATATCCATTTCTTGACTTATCATTACCATATGCTCCTTTATGGTATGTCAGTTGTAGGCTTCAATCATCATCATTGTGTGACATCAGAATTTGTCCCACTCATGCTTTACAAAATTTTTTGGCTGAAGACTTTTTACTTTGTGCAGTTAATAGTCTTTGTTTTTACAGAGCATGGAGTTTTTGAGTTTTTGAAGTTCTAATAAAATCATCGGATGAATTGAGCATTGAAGCCAGCTTATTCATCCAAATTTATAAACCAGTACTAAAATCTTTCATTTTAGACAAAATATAGTTTGCAAAGTTCTGATAAAATTTTCTTTTAAAATTTTTAGATAATAGACTATTGGGTGGGGAAGGAGAGGAATAGAAGGATTTTTGATGCAGTTGAGGATGTAAATAGTTTTGATATCCTTAAGTATACATGTTTCCAGACCCTTAGTTTTTTGTTACGGGTTCATCCTCTTTAATTTATGAAAGATTTGATGGAACTTGTTGATACAGTGATGGGCTTCTAAATTCTGTATATGGGTGGCACCCTGTTTGTATCTATTTCAATACAATTCAAATTTTATATTTCTAAAATAAGATATATAGGCTATCGAAGACGGCTAAGACTTTTAGCTGACTCAATTTATAAACCAGTACTAAAGACTTCTATTTTAAATAAAATCTGAATTCATTTGGTTTGTTATGGTATTCAATCAATCCAAGTTCATTCCCTCCTGAAACTAGTAGATTTTGGAATGTAATCCAAGATTTTTTGAAGGATATGAAAAGTTTGTGTTGATGTTTTCGTGTTTTGATACTAATTTTCAGGTACTTCTTGGTGGCGTTGCTGCATGTTCCGTGCTATGGCATGTTTTCGTTAGTTATCAGAATCAAGAACAGCTTGTTTTCGAAATGGTTCTCTCATTCCTATGTATGCTTAAGATAGGAAGGAATTGTTTTGAAAAGGTAATTGCGTAGTAATTTCTATAATTATCTAATTACTATATAAAGTTACTAAATTACTATCAAATGTTAGAAAATTACTACGAGGATGATGATGTCTGCGAGGCAGGTTCAGATCCGCAATATCAAAAACCAGAGTGCCTGCCTGGTGCTCAGAATTCGAATTTACCATTTTGGATTAAAAGGAGATCAAGAGAGATGTCAACTGCTTGATGCACAGACCGGTTTGACAGCAGAACTCAAATAATCTTCTTAAGAAGAAAATTTGAGAAAAGAAAACTTCTAATGATTTGTTTATAACAAACATTCCTTCCCAACTTCTGAAAATTTTCTTTTCAACTTTCTTCTGATGAAGCATTTTGTAAATCTGTAATAAGAAAATTAGTTCATGTTTAGCTATAGAAAATTATGTCAACTATATATATATATATATATGTTTGTAAATAAAAGCATGCATAAATGTTAAAAGTGAAATAAATTTTAGAAATTAACAGTTAAAATATAGTATGTTTTAAAAATAATATTTTTTATTTTATTTTTGTTCAAGATATTTTATAATCTGTTACTATTTATTTTGTAAATTTTATTGAGTTTAAAAATAAAAAATCTTCAAAAGTTTTATCAAAAATATAAATATTAATTGATTTTAATCTATGGTACGGAATGATTAAGTCAAATAATTATCTTAAACTTTAATTATATTAATCCAACTCAAATTTCTGCTTTTAGGTTTGATTTCTTAGATTAGTGAATCAATTAGTGTTCCCTAAAGTTTATAACTTTCGGATCTTCAAATTCTGGTTGAAACTGAGAATTGACAGCCCAACGGGTTCGTAACGAATCTATAACCATAATAATTTGTTTACCAACTCATATTTTAATTTAAATAAAAACGTAGAGATAAAGATTATATTAGAACTATAAAAAATAATTTAAATATAAAAATTTTTCTACAGAATTAAACCACTACATTACATTTAGATATAATATTTGAAGTAATTATTATAAACTTTTACATTTGAAGACATCTTTTATTATAAACTTCTACATTTCTAAGTACGTTAAAAACTTAGTATTTACAGGAATTGGCTGTTTTTTACCGAACAGATTGGTAGGGAGTTTTGAAAAATTAAAAAAAAAAAAATTTACCCGTATAAGTATAAGCATAGATATCGAATGACAGAGATCAAAGATATCAAATGAATAAGGAAGAGCAAAAAACATTTATCAATGCAACATTCTGGAATTTACCCATATATAGTCATGGTATAATAGCCGTCAGAACATAACATGAACTGGAGAGGTAATCATTTATTACTATTTTACAAGAAACGAGATACCAATATTTCTTTAGGCAGAAGACTTGCCAACGGCACCAGCTTCAGTCAGCAGAGGCACCAGCTTCCCTTGCTGATGTAATGCGGTAGTAGCTGCAAAATAAGAAGCAAATGAATCAGATCTAAGCAACATATTAGAGCGACAAATTAAAAACCTAGAAAAGAACTGTAAGACCGAAACCATACAGTCACATCCACCGATATGCTTTCCACCAATGAAGACGTTTGGCACTGTCCTATGCCCGGTCCACTCTGCTAGTGCTGATTGAATTTCATTTCCATCACCTTCATAAAATGAGTGAAGCATAAGATAAGCAATTGATCACCAGCTGGTTTTCTATCTTGCTAGATGCCTAATAGTCTGGCACATACTATTGTCTTGTTAAAAATTATGAAGATATAGCTTCATCCTGGTTATCTAAGGCCAACAACATAAGAAAGTTGACAAGTTAGGGATTCTTTACATAAAAACTGTTTTACAATCAATAATGAGATTCTTTCTATGTCTCCATCAACTCACCATAAATCATTATACAGCACTCTGAAGGTGCTGCATTTATCCAATTCATGCCCAGAAAGATGATGACTTGGTAAAATAATTGGTTGTGACATCATACAGAAATACATACATGTTGCAGTTGCCTCTTCAAAAAAATAAATGCTGAAACCATGATATTATAAAACATACTGAGTGTATTTTGTCAATGATATTACTTGATGACTCCCTTTTGAATGTGAGGAAGTACATAAACATACAGAATGGATGCAATGAACAACAATTATGCATTACAAGAACCAAAGCATAAAAGCTTTAAGTACTGATACCTTTTCATAATTTAGTATCAAAATAAATTGATATTATGGATGAAAACTAATATGTATGTTTAAATGTAGTTTAATCATCATTTTTTCCTGATAGAGTTTAATAACCAAAATATAATACACGAGTCTATGCAATGGCATCATATGTACTTTGTTAATGTTATCGTTTGATGAATCCACTGTGAATGTGGAAGTGGTCATATATATAAGGAACTACTTACAAACACAAAACGAATAACAATTACGCATAAAACAGGAATCAAAGCCTTTTGCTTTGCAGACTGATCTCCTTTCATAATCTAACATCTCATTACTATTTCAGAAAAAAATAAAATGGAAAATATAGTATATATTATAAATTCATACTATGGACGAAATTAATAAATACGATCAACTAAAAGGATCGTTTAACCTTCATAACTTGATACATAAGTTTAAGCAATGGCATCATATTTGCACTAGTGTTCCCAGAGTACTTTGCTGATGATATTATTTGATGATTACCGTGTGAATGTGAGTCAGAAGAGCATACATACACCGAACTATATATACACAATGAACAAGAATTACACATGAAACAGGAATCACAACCTTTTACTTTGAATACTGATCTCCTTACATAATCTAGTATAAACATCATTATTTATTTAAAAAAAGGGGGGAAGGGGGAAGCATAAAAACTCTATACATATGTTTACATAAAAGACGGCTTAATCATATCAATGGAAGAATGTTAGATCTCTAAAATGCAAAGAAACGATTAGTGGTTCTGATGATGGGTTATATTAATGTAATTGGCTTCCAATTTACAATCACCAAAAAAAAGAACAAAAATATACCAGAGGGAGTCACTACTATTATGAGATCAATAAACTTAAAAACCTCCATCAATGCTTTAGATGCAATATAACAAAATAGGATTCTACGGCAACAAGCAATCTAGAAATGATTACACAAAAAAATCGATACTAAGAAAAACGAATTTTCCACAAACTAGAGAAAATGGAAGAATCCATAAGCAAATACGCGAAACCGAAACAAAAACAAAAACAGAGGGGAGATTTGCTACTACTCACTTTCAATGTCGAGCTCAATGGCCTTGAAGGAGGCGCCTACTTGCTGCAACAGCTTCTTCACGCTCACGCAGAAGGGACAGTAAGACTTGCTACAACAGATTCATTCCGTCACGAACACCACCGATGAAATCACAATCGTTAATAGACGGACAACAAACAGGAAGAGAAGAATACCTGAAAACGACAACGGGATTGTGAGAAACCACGTCCTTGGCCTTCACCATTGCCATCTTGATCTGTCTAGTGTTTATCTATTCACAGACCTGAACCGTTGTTTGCTCTCGCCGCGTCTAGAAGCAGATAAGAATGGAGGAGAAGCACTGATTTTCGTGCTTAAATAGAGGAATGATAAGGGCTTTTCATCTGTGCGTCTGATTTAGAAGGAAGGTATCGTACAAAATGAAATAGATCTGAGCCGTTCATAGGTGGCTAAAAACAATCATGATGGTGATAGATAGCCTTGCAT